ATTAAATATATATAATTATAATTATATTATTAATTAAATTAATTATTTTATATTAGTTATTATTTATAAATAGTGCTACTTTCATTTTCATCTTATTCTTTTCTAATTTTATAATAAATTTCAGAGGTATGAAAAGTTTCAAAAGTGTGAATACTCGTGGTCCTCAATACATATGCTAAATGTTCTCCGGGATGTTTCCAGCAGTCTAGATGTGGCTAGTTTGATTTTATGTTGCTGTACTCTAACTTATAATTAACTTTATGTCTATACGGTTTTTCTCACTATAAGATCTTTAAGGTGGAGATAGAAAGGCTTTAACAGGGGCAGTCAGGAGTTGTGACTCTTCACTTTTACTTCAACTACATGTTTTGTGCACTTTGCTAAATTCTACTTGCTTTATTTAACTATTTGAATCTGTGATCACAGAAACTTTTTTTTTCTGAGTTTCAGGTCATTTAACATTTCTGTATTTGGGGGAAAATCCTTTTAAATTACATACAGTCAACATTGATTGCTCTCTATTCCCTTTATATTCATTCATTCAGTGATTTATTCAAGATCACATGCCAAACATGTTGCAGGAATTATGCTAGGTCCTGGGGATTCAGTGTCACAAAAACCGCCTTATCCCTGAATCTGAAGTGTTTTTGAGTAACCTCTCCAGTATGAGTACCGGTACTGATGACAATCAGAATTCTATTTTAGAAAGGTTCACAAAATCCTTGAGTCTTTACTTTCTTTAAGATTGCCCTACAATTCCACCTCTCTGCAAAAAACTTTTTCTATGTAAATGATCTTTCTTTGTTTAGGTTAAGTGCCTAAGTATAGCTTCCGTTTGTTTTCTTACCTGACATAAATTCTGGATAAAATGTCTGCTTTGTCCCCCAGGTTGTCAAGTAATCCCTTTCTCGCACTTCTCCCTCAAAACACGCTATGCAGTTTGGATTGGCAGTATTTTAGTATATTCTTCTACATCATAGAAGGAGGTTGGCAGATGGGCCTCATTCTCCTGAGATAGGAAGAGGAGGGACATCAGGTCTTAAAGATAATCCCCAAGTTTTGGCTCTGGATTCTCTGCATCTTTTATCTCTTCCTTTTATCTAAGTTTAGATTCAGATCCATTCGGTTAGAACTAATATTTATCTTTTTTTAATGTTTATTTATTCTTGAGAGAGAGAGAGATCACATGTGTGAGAGAGGGTGTGGAGGAGGGGGAGAGAGAGAATCCCAAGCAGGTTGTGCACCATCAGAGTGGAACCCTGTGCGAGGCTCAAAGTCACAAAATGTGAGATCGTGGCAGGAGCTAAAATCAGGAGTCGGATGTTTAACCAACTAAGCCATCCACGTACCCCAGAACTAATATTTGTCTTGAGACTGCTAGTGAAGGACTTGGACTAAAATAAAACTTCTAGGTAAGCTCCAAAAATTAAATATTTTTTGAATTCTGCTATGCTCCTGACATTATGGCAAGCACTGCGTCTGCCTCACTGGCTAATGGAATTATAGCTAAATTTTTCTTTTGCGACCAAGAATCTCTCAGAATCCCTTAGTTATGAAATCTGAACACAAATTTATTTCTGTCACTTAATAAGTCATTACATTTTCTTTTTACTGTAGTGTGTACTTTATCCTGACTTCTAAGTGCCTTGGGAAATGTAGAGATTTGCCTAAATGATATTACTCAAAATGGTTTAAATATGTACTATTTATTAATAAATATTTTAGTATAGTACTTGATTCATTAAATGTTTAACAAGTATTGACTCATTATTTTAATATTATCAAACTGTTAAGGACCAATCATTTGGCAACAGTAAGAGTTAAATGTGAAAATACTGAGACTATTGAAACTCTCATTTTCATCCCCCAAAATGATGGAACCTTTTTATTTTTAGTGTATTTCCTCACATTTTTATATTTAGTGATACAAACCACACTTTAAGATTTTCTTTAGTTCATACAATCTAGACAAGAAAAGCACAGCTCTCTATCCTGCCTTTAGTAAGAAGTGCCTCCAAATTAAATTATGATTAAAATTTATCTATTCTGTTCTCACAGTTGAAAAAAAGATTTCATTCTGTCACCTCTGAAAGATATTTGAAAACCCTTATATCTGGAAAGGGTTCTTTCTAATTTCTAGCATTAATATTCCCTGCTAATTCTGAGAACTAATCTTTTCTGAAAATTAAATTCACTGATTGTTCACAATTCCTACAAAATATGTTTACATATTTGAAAACATTCCAAGTTCTCCATGTTCCTTTTAAGTCCTAAAAAAGATTAAATATCCCATTTATGAGACTGGGGACAAAGTTGTATTGCTTTGCTAGTGACAACAGTCATAGAATTTTAAAACTGATGGCATTTGTTACATTGCTGGTATGTTTAGGGAAAAACAAAGATTCCACTTGGACTGTCATACAAGATGTACATTTTTTTCCCCAGAAAGGATAAAAATCAAGAATAAATGAGAAAAACAATGGGGTGAACTAGTTCAAAATGGTAAGGAGAATTGTACAATACTCAAGTTATTATCTTTAACATTTTAGAATATTAAGGAAAAAGGTGAGAAAATGATTTTTGACTTGGCATTAAAAATAACTAAGCTAGAGGGGTGCCTGGGTAGCTCAGTAGGTTGACCATCTGGTTCCTGATTTCGGCTCAGATCATGATCCCAAGGTTGTGGAATCAAGCCCTGGGTGGACTCCACACTGAGCATGGAGTCTGTTTAAGATTCTCTCTCTCTTAAAAAAAAAAAAAAAAAAAAAAAAAAAAAAAAAAAAGAGAATCTGGAGCTGGAGCTGAAAGGGAAAGTATATATCAAATTCAAAATAGTATAAAGTATAATCACTTATAAACATTATGTATGAGCCTGATATGGCCCATAATCTGGGTTCTTTTCAATTGGTCATTGGATACCAAAATTAAATGATGCTATGATGAGAATAAGTAAAGGTTACAAACTGCTGGACAGCAAAGACCCCTGTTACTCATCACTATATCCCAGTATCTGACATGAAGTGTATGCTCAATAAACATCTCTTGAGAAAGGGTGTAGACAGACCTTGAACTTCAAACTGATGTATCCTAGCTGGTACTTCTATGCTGGGAAAATATCCACTCCTATTTCCATTACACTTGGATCCATTCACCCTGCCTTTTGTTTTCCATCCCCTTTATCCAGTTATTTTCTTCCTTATCCCATTTATATTACCAAAATAGCCCCAAGTGTTTCTAATAATTTTGTCTCAGAGATCACAATATGTACTGCTTCCTTGCCATCAATTTCACCTGGTCCCAATGCTTCTACGCACCATGATAAAAACCCTTCTTTCCTTGTTTCTATTAGTTTTCTATCTCTGTTTTTATTTTTACCCTATCTGAAGTATAAATCATCAATGCTAACTAATTGCAAGCATATAGACTGAGGTGCACTTATAGTGCAATATTCTCACATATATAGTTTTTATGTGTAGATAGCATATACCATACACATGACATTTATTTAATTAATATAATTAAATAATCAAAATGATTTCCTGAAAAGTCATATTCCAAAATTTACTGTAGGAATTTATATATTTAAATTTTTTTATTAAAATTTTATTATATTTACGCAAATGAATCAACGTGATACATCACATTAACAAAAAAAAAGA